TCTCTCTCTCTCTCTCTCGCTCACTCTCGCTTGTGACACACGACACACGACATGCACCTTGTCATGCAGGCAGCACTGTCCGAGCCCCGCGCCCTCGCACTGCCCCGCCACAAGCTCCACAAGCTGCGGTCCGGCCCTGAGGGCAGCCGTCAGTGGCCCCGCCTGGACAGAGCCTGGGCAGAGCAGAGCCTGGCTCGTGACAATGTCCCTACCAACCCCTCATCCTTTACCGCGACATTTGCAGCACTCTGTGCTGTGAAAACAAAAAGATTAGCCATAGCTAAACTTCTTATGATCTAAATAATTGATAACTGATTATTTAGCGATGCAGCCAAATATTTTGACCGTTCAGAAGAACAACCGCGTACCTCCAAAATGTGATGTCAGAAACCTGATGCAAGGTATGTGATGTCAGAGTGTGATAGGAAGAGAGGAGATATGACGTCACACTTTGGAGGTACGCGGTTGTTCTTCTGAACGGTTGATTTAGCAACGTTGCAAAAACAATAAAAAATGGATCTAGCTAAAAACATATAGTGTTTTTTTTTAGCCATGAAGTTACGTAGCTAGCTACACATGGTTAAATAATTAGTTATGCCTCGTTAAGCTATTGGTTTGGCGAATCATTTTGTTAAATGATTATTTTACATTATGTTTGCTCGCGCAGGGGAGCCGTCACCCGGAAGTCCTCTGGCGGGAGGGCCGCATCCGGTACCTCCAGGCGGAGCGGCTCAAGACTTCCGGTCAGCAGAAGGCGCTGCACGACCGCCTCGTGGCCGAGGGCTACGCGGCGGTGCAGCTGGCGCTGCAGCTGGACCCGAGCTGCGGCCGCGCCCACCAGTGGATGTCCATCCTGCGCCACGCGTACGCCGAGGTGCGCGGCCCGCTGCACAGGCTGCGCTGCGTGGACCACATCCGGGAGGACATGGAGGTGAGCGAGGAGGGTCCGAGGGGTCCTTCACTCAAAAAAAATCAGTCTCCACCCTTAGAAAAATCACGAAAAAATCATAAAAAAATCACTAAAAAATCTTAAAAAATTAACGAAGAGTCAGAAAAATCACAAAAAATCAAGAAAAAATCACAAAATATCAAGAAAAAATCACAAAATATCAAGAAAAACAGAAAAATCGGTTTAAGCTAAAATTTATGTGAAGGACCCCCCACCCACCCCACGGTAAAAAAACAACGTCTGAGTTTCAGACCAAAACGTTAGGGTCGTTTCTACCACACTCTTATTACTCTGCTAATCTAACTGTATAACAAGATGATAGTTTTGCAGTTAAAACTGACAAACTAAAAAGTTCCACAGTTTTAAACTGCACAACTGCATAGAGCTAGTTTGACAGTACAAACGTTTGAACTGCACAGTAGTTTTGCAGTTTAAACTGTATAGAGGGCGGTCCACAGACCCCTTCCTTTATTTTGCTTATACTGTACCGCATGCAGGCTTGCCTACCGTCGCTCACCACGGCGCCTTATGGCCCCGTGCGAGTATGCACCCCGCCCGCACGCCTGCATCCGGTACACGATAAGCAAAATAAAGAAGGGGGTCTGTAGACCACCCTGTAGAACTTGTTGAGTTTCGCAGTTGCGTTGTAACTTCAAGACTTTTATTCACGCAGTTTAAAAACTTTCCGTTTTGCAGTTTAAACTGTCATTTTGTTATGCAGTTAGATTATTTTGCAGAGCATGCCCGCGCGGCGCCCGGGGATAGAGTGTCATGCCACCGCGGGCACTTGTTGCATTTCCACAGAACTCCAACAGCCGGCATTGTACTGGATGCCGTTTCGTGTCGCAGGGGCCATGGCGCATTATATGGACTAACAGGAAAACTCAAAACACTTCAGCCGAACAACCGATGGTCAACTTCCGATAACTCTCATGCTATATGAACGACTCAAAAACAAGAGACAACTAAAATTTCCACATGAATTGCCAACTGATTTTATTGAGGGATATAAAAAAATGAGTAAAATTCCCACTTTTTTTAGCAGACTTTCTTAAAATGTGATGAGTTTCCTCAAATGTGGACCTCTCTCTTTTCCTCAAAATCATACGATGGCCAGGGATGAAGAGGGGGGGGGGGGGCAGTCAATACTGACGACATGCTCTTGGGTTTCCCCGGCGCCGCTCGCCTTACCATACAATACCGTTGCCATACCATCGCCGCGACCATCGCATCACCGAGGGGCGAGCTGGACCACAGGACACTCTGTCGAAACGCTTTTTAAAGAAAGACGCGAAAGCACCGCAGCTGACGAATACGAAGCTATGCTAAAGCAGTGCTTTCTAATGCAAGGCGTGGTGATTGGAAAATTACGAACCACCAGTGCTTTGAAAAAGAAAGTTTGCTATCGTATTGTGTGATGCTTTGAAGACTTTCTCCAAATGGCAGAAACATCATCGTTTTTGAATGTCTGTCGCATGTTTGCCCCTCTTTCTCTCGATTGGGGAAGCTCTCGTCATACGAGGCCATACAACAACTCGATTCGCAGAAACGTGAGCCCTGCTGCCCGAGGCAACTTGAAGGACCGCTTCGCGCTATCCGCCCGCACCGTACGTAACGGCGCGCTGTGTACTGCACGCTCGCCTCTCTCCATGAGGTTGGCCCATTGTGGTAGAGCCCTGGGGGATTATGGCTATCTATCCCCCCCCCCCCCTCGTCCTTCCCCCCTGCGGTGCGCAACCGACTTTCTCCCCTGCCCCTTTCTCCACATGAATATTGTGGACCACCGGCATGGCAGCTGGGGTGAAGAGATGTTGGGAAAGTATCCTGAGAGGGTCCCGGGGATCAAGAGGAAACTTGACTAAAAAAATATACAAGGGACTCATGATATGGGCTGGGTACGACAAATTACCGTCACTTATAGAAAAGTTTTATTTTCCTTTTCGGGAATAAATCACTAATCACCCTCCCTTCCCTTCGCTCTCACTCTCAGGATTAATGGCGTTTTGTTCCCGATCCTCCCTTCATCCTTATCCCGCTGAGCCCGCGAACAGGCCTCCCGTTGCCACACCAAAATTGAAATCAATTCGGCTTCTCCTCCACCCCCCTCCACCCCCCTCTAACCCTCTCCACTGGATTCACCCCCACAACACCCCTTCCGTGATTGAAAACGTCCGATGCGGTCTCCGGTAATAACATGGAAAGATATCGGCAGCCGCAGCACAGAATCAGGCTAGTAAGTTCCATCGACTGTCGATGCCAATTTAATGTTTGGTGTCCAATGATAATTTTCATGCTCTGCGCCCCCCCCCCCCGGGCCCTCCTCCAGCTAAGCTCGTGGTTTATTCGAATTATCACGGACCGTTCGTGTTCCCTGTCGCGGACGAGAACGCCTAGTTGTTAGGCGGACCCTAGTTGTGCGGGGCTCCGCGGTGGAGCGGTCGGCCTACCCTTCGCTTGGCAGGCGGCGTATGACGAGCCAAACATTGTCTTTTCACATTGCACCCAGCACGCGAATTCTTTGCAAATAAGACGAGAATTTCCTTTCTTTCTGCAGACAGAGAGGAAGAATGGTGGAAACGGGAGGAGAGGAAGGGGAGGGGGGTGTCGTCCTCTGAACTCATTTTCATTCGACGGTGTCCACGACAGGCCGGGGGGCTGTCCGGCCGGTTGTCACCTCCCCCCCCCCCCCTCTCCACATCGCCACCCTCCTCCAAGCCGTGTTACAGTATGGCGTTATGTTGGAGGCTGCCGGAAGCGGAAGTCGTGTCCGGAGCACAGCCAAGGGCCGCCCGCCCCGCCTTCTGGGGTGACGCGGTGTGGGGTGGAGTGCGGAGGGGCGGCCTGGGCTGGGCCGGGATTCCAAATCACGAAACACGCAGCCCCAACGGTCCTGACCCCGCCGCCCTCACCACCCCGGCCCGCGACCTCTGCTGGCGCCCTCGCCTGGAGGGACCGCTTGTCGGGATCGGCAGCCAGGGCGAGCAGCACCAGGGGGCCTGGAAACGGGAGGGTGCGGGGGGAGGAGGGGGAGGGGGAAATTCTTGAGAAGTCAGTGTGCGCGCGTGTCGGGGTGACGACGGCGCCTTGGACCGCGCGCTTGTGGCGTCAGATCACCACACCCCCCTCCCCTAGGTGCAACTGCACCCTGCTTTCTTCTGCTTTATTCGTTTGTTTGGTCGCGCGCCCTTGTCCACTTAGCTGGCAGTAGGACTCTCTTTTGGTCTTTTTTTTTTGGAAGCGTGGATCTTAATAAGTCTTTTCCCATTCTCTCTATCTAGTTGGTTTCTATATTGCAAATTGGTTGGCGTGTCTTTTAAAAATGGGGACAGATTATTGGCGTTTTTCTTCATAACGCCAACATCAGGCGTCTTTGACCGTGGGTTGGTAACAGTGTATGCCGTTGGCGTTGACAGCTCGCCCGCGCCACAGGCCGTCGGAGCCTCCAGAGGGAACCGTTTGAATGCTGGCGCGCCGCTGCTTGCCAGTCAGCAGATGCAACGAGATCTCGAAACGAGATCGCCTCGCTCTGCCCCCCGCCGGCCGGGCCCACCCAATATGCATCGCTCTCTCTGAACCTCATCTCCGGCCTCCCCGACTGATGTCTGCGTGTGTCTCTGTGTGTGTTTCAGCGCGCCGTGCAGCTCCTGCCCCACGACGGCGCCCCCCGCACCATGCTGGGCATGTGGTGAGTGACGCCTGGGTGACGACTCGCGTGTGATGGCTTCCGTACGATCGCTCCCGTACGATGGCCCCCGTGTAGATCAGATCGTAGATTAGGTCGCACCCGGCACCCGGGTACCCGGATAGACCCCGTCGGAACCCACTGCTACCCGAGTAACCGCTGGTTTGGGTTTTGAGAGCCCTATTTCGTAAGGCGGCCTTTCGAAAGCGCCTTTATTTCTTTCCTCTTTCGCTGGCTGGGCTCAGGAGACGCGGAACAACGGAACTGTGCGTACACGGATCTGCACTCCCTTCACCTGTCTGAGTCCCTTCTTCTTGTCCAACAGGTTCTACGAGGTGTCGCAGCTCAACTGGTTCGAGCGACAGGCGGTAAAGGCTGGCGGGCAGACGGTGCCCGCCCCGAGCGAGGGCCTGCGGCAGGCGCTGCACTGGCTGCTCGAGGCTGACGCGCTCTACAACTCCTGGTGAGCGAACGATCGGAATGGATCCGAACGCCCCTCGGGCCCGGCCGGGAACCGAACGGCAGCAAGTACACTACTGCCAAAAAAGTTTTCCACAGATAAAAAGAAACATTCTTTAAAAAAGCTAAAAAGAATTTTTTTTTTTGCTTTGGTCCAAGAATAAGTTTTTCTTGTATCATGCTTTGCTTTCAATCAAGAATATTTTTGTTTACTACTTGATTAAAGAAAACTTTCATGCTCTAATATAATTTTCCTTGATGAAAGAAAAATTATTTTTGGCCCTAAGCAAACGTTTACCTGGTCCGTGAAGAATATTTTTCTTGACTACGGATTTGTTTTTCGCGTGTTTAGCGGTACGACTATAACGTTTACGGTTGGCAAATTCTACATGCTATTTTTGTACTTTTCGAAGCACTCTTTCATTTTGATTAATTTCTTCCGTGTTCGCAGCCTCAACGACCTGATGCTGGGGAAGACCCTGCTGGCCATGAGCGACCCCGAGCGCGCCCGCACCTACGTGGAGCGGGCAGCGCGTCGCGCGCCCCGGGAGCAGTCTGACGTGAAGGTGAGCCGGGCTCATAGCGGGCGAGGGGCGAGGGCGGCTGAGAGAGAGAGAGAGAGAGAGAGGAGAGGGAGAGAGAGAGAGAGAGAGAGCGAGAGAGAGAGCGAGAGAGAGAGAGAGAGAGAGAGAGAGAGAGAGAGAGAGAGAGAGAGAGAGCGAGAGAGAGAGAGAGAGAGAGAGAGAGGTGGCGGGGGCAGCCATCACGTCCCCTTACACGGCTCATCCATCTCGCCCGACCTCCCGACCTCCCTTCACGATTATAGGTTCTCGAGTTAGAGGTGCAGGTCACGAGACATCTCTGTCTCTGTCTGTCTGCCTCTCCCGCCCACGCCCCGTATCGCATGTGATTCGCCATCGGATCATCAGTTTGGGCTCCGCTGTCGTCTCGAGCGGCCAACGACCATACTTAATATGGTCATTAATGCGGCGTGGTGATTCTGCGAAAGAAAGTAGGGCAGACTTTACAGTGGGACAGGTTTTTTTTTGTTATTTTTTCTTTCACGGGAACCTTGTTTTCAACTCGAAAGGTTCTACCCGGTGTAACTGAGAAAATGCGCAGCAAAGTTGCGGGATTGCATACCCACCAGGGCTGCAGGGGCCATGGCGCCTTACGAGCGAATTGGGTAGGCAAGCCCGCAACACTGCTGCGCATCCACAGTTACACCCGGTACATGAACATCAGTCGATTTGCATGTTTCTCTAGGTTGGCTGTTGTTAAGGTTTGGGGTGGCAGGTGTTGGGTGCGGGGTGTATGCCATTTAGCGGAGTGGTGGTTTGAGAAAGCTTCCTCGCTCTGTTCTGCAGGCGCAGCTGGAGGCGACGCAGCTCCTGCAGACGTGGAGCGACTGATGGCACTTCACTCCCGCTCGGGGAGGCGCACGAATCCCGCGGCCGACTAAATCACCGGAACCAACATGCTGAGCACCGGAACCAACATGCTGAGCGACAGTTATGTAGTGTAAATGGGGAATAGCTTTAATTTCAATGGAATAAATGCGCAGTATTTTCTTTTACTTCCGATCGTCCGTTCTTTAACTATTTTTATCTGTAAGCAGATTATTTCTGTCTTGTCTTGTCTCTGATAGACTGATATTGTAATATTTGTTAGCTTATTCTTAATACGTAATAAAATAAAAACAAAAACATCATACACTGCGTTTTCCCTAGAAAAAACACACCACAATGAAGTGGACTTCTGCAACTGATCAGGTGTCTGCCGACGTATTTTTGTTGCACTGAGCTTGTAAACAAAGACAATAGTTACTGCCCTATATCTCTCTCCCACGTAGTTTTGTATTGCAAAGCGATAGTTTGTCGAGCAGAAGTTCGTGCACGCAAAAAAAATAAATAAAAGAATATCAATTCCGTGCAAATAGCCCTGGTTCTAAATAAATTAGCCGAGTCTCTTCAATTAATTTTTTCAGCCCGGTGCTAAAGGCAGAGCCACGATTTTTTTCCTGCGTTAAATCTTCCGAAGAACTAGTTTATAAGGGGTCATCCACAAAGTACGTCCGTGATTCGCTGTTCCAAAACTGCCAAGTTCATCCCGTGCTAGCTCTCGGAGCGCCTGGTGGGTAGGCAACTTCTCGTATGTAGTGCATGAGTGTTCTGCGGGCTGGCCTACCTTGAGCCTCGCAGGCGCTCATTTCCCCTTTTCGCTGAACGAATCTTAGAAAAATCGGACGTACTTTCTGGATGGTCCCTACTACAACGCCCCAAAATCCTTCGTAAGCTACGAAGATTTTGGTTTGTATTATTCGTACCTGTTGTTCGTAATCAATTTACAGTGCAGCACACTGGGAGGAGGAAAATTCGCGTGCCGCTGCCGCCCTTCCCGGCCGCTGCCTTACGGAGTTGACTCGTTAAAACCAACGCGGTCCCTTATTTGCTCGGTGGCATAGACACGTCGCGAGTGGACGCGAGTGGGGCAACCAAAAGAGATAAGAGAAGGGAGGCGGAAAGGCGGGGGGGGGGGTACAGCAAAGTAGCTGCGCGACTCAGCTCATGGGGTCCCATCGAAAGTTTGTTGTTCCGGGAGCAGTACCGAGCAGGGCTTCAAAGGGCTCTGGTCACGTGGGCAACCCCGTCCCGCCCCACCCCTCCGCCTCTAGCTGTTGGACGCGCGGGCATGCGGACATCTCACCGCCCTTGCGCAGGTATAAGACCCCCCCCCCTCCATCAAGAGGAAAAAAACAGGGCAGAGAGAGAGAGTGAAAGAGTTTAACAGAGCAAGATAAAGAAAAGTTGGGTGTGCTGATGGTGCTTTCCACGCCGGTGATCTCAAGTTTTTTTTTTCTCCGGCAGCTGTTTCTTTTTTCCCCGCAGGACGTTTCGAAAAATTTGTCTCGCGCGTGGAAAAAACATTTCGTTGTCCACATTCATTTTTGTGGCGGTCTTCTTTCTACGCGCCGCTTAGGGGTAGCCAAGTTGTAACACACCTATACTCCCCCCCCCTCTCTCTCTCCCCCCTCTCTCTCTGGCTCAGGGGATCAGCTTCCCCCTACGAGTGCCAGTGGCCTAGCGTTTTGTCCGCCCTGATTGCCCATTACCAGCGCGTTAGCTGTGGCCACATAGCCCCTTATGGCGTTCCCTTCTGTGTTAGAGAGAGAGAGAGAGGTAAGAGGTAGGTGAGAGAGAGAGAGAGA